GCCAACAAAGTGCATTCCCAAAACTAATGTTCATTGCCAATCGACTGAAAGTCGAAAGAACTATTGAGTCAGGAAGAAGAGCAACTCGACAAGGTGTGAGAAGAGGTAGCATTGAGAGCATCTTAAGCGAAGACGATATTAAAGGTTTACTTCTGGGAAGTGGCACAGGCAGTGATGATGAAGGAGAGACCGCTACAGAATATGAGTTGACAGATGGCGCGGTGACATCCGAAGAGGAATCTGACGGACTCAACTTGAAGATAAGTGAGAAGGAAGCGTTGATCAGTGGGGAAAAGGAAGAGTAATATTGTGATTTTTGGGAGCGAAATTATACCAGATATAGATTGATATTTGATTTTAAATGGGGATATTAGATAGGTAATAGGCATCGTTAGGATAATAGGGTTAGATGCTTGAATCGATATATTCATCAGAAATGTGTGCACTCTCAGCTAGTCCTAGCCTTTACTCTACATCTTACGTATGTATCTCTGCTTCTTCAATGATTACTTACAGACGGTGATATCATTCGACTCTATCTAGATGAATATATCTGAAGTATCAACTTGTGCGTGGCCTTGCACGTCATTCTTGCCATCCTCATTCAATCCCTCTCTTCGATCTTTCCTTAACAGTACAAATACGAAGTTTTACCATCAGTATTCAATAGATGAATAGAACAGTTCATGAAGATGGGAGTGAAGATACTGTGCCTTCTGACATTTACAGTAAGAACGGGATAATACATGCCGGCTACTCAATACCGATCTCCCTCATTCACTTCACACGGTACCGAGCATAGCTATCAAATAGCCGAGTACGTAGATATAGAGCACACTTTCACCAGGTAGTCAATATGTATCCAAAATCAAGAATGCTCGCCAACAAAGCTGAACATCTTTTCTCCTATTTCGGTATCGAGTGACGTCGTCCTATGGCACAAATGCAAGATTATAGTGCAAACTAAGCTCCTGAGGGGTTCAATTCTGGCTCAGCTTTGTGTCAGGCCCAAACATACACTCCCTCAATTTGATCATTACTGAGATTGAAATTGAAGTTACATGATGAGAGTGCGTAGACGAAGCGACAATGATGATGATAGTTGCGCCCACGGTTATTTAGCTAGTCGGCTAATCAGATGTTGAATCTCGCTAATGTGTTCGATTGGAATATTGATCGGATTTCTTCATTTGATATGACATTTGGTAGCTGAAAAAATTAATGGATGTGATTGTATTCATTTTATTTTATGGAAAGTGGTGAGAGCTGGTCCATCAGCTAACGCCCTTATGAGATGTTCCCTCTTAGAATTTGCAACATTTACGTCCAGCTCAAAAGTGGTGATATCTGCAGATATCGTGCTGCATATCCAGAGTCTGAAGATCACAAATAGTGGCGGGATATTATTGCAAATAATCGCTGCCCAAATATTGCTAAAATCTTCAATTTTACGTACAGATGAACTGGCACGACCTCGTCTTTTAGTAGCTCGCTATAGATCTTCTCGATATAGCTACAAGCATCTATGCACTGATAACTCTTGCTATTCAGCTTTTCTATGCATCCTGTGATGCTGTTAAATTGTGGCATTCAAATTCTAGTAGCGATTTCATACATGAATTGTTGGAATTATAATTGAGAATTCGAGGTTTGAGGATATTACCTCGCTCGATAGATAGTGAACCGGATGTTAAATATCAACGGAGTACTCTTGTGTATGCCAATGGAAGAGGGACATGCAGCAGTATTTGTAAGCATCATCTTGAGAACTTAGACATTATGACGGCTCTTATGGATCAGGCATTTGACACTCTTTCCAAGAGAAGAAAATAGAGCTATCGGACAACCAGTGGAGGAGGCAAATAGGCAGGTATCGGAAGGAGGTATGGTAGTCTGTGTTGGATTTAGGTTTATGGGTGAGTTAGACTTACTCTTGGAGCTGTGGACATTTCGATATGGGATGCTGACTTGGATATAGACAACGACAAGATGAGATTTGTTCTATCTTAACTCATACTTCTCGTTTGAGTTACGACTGAGATATTGATGTTTTCCAGGGTCTCGCTGCAAAGTATTTGAAGTATTCAAGGAGTTACATCACGGCTACTTGTAGGAGAGCTCGCTGGGTGACATGGATTCCTTCAGCTCAGGGGAAGCTATTGTGATGTAAAATCAGAACTAAAGTAGTGTGCCATTCTGGCCTTCGTTCAGACACAAGTTTGTTGTAGCGACCTTTTTATACTGTTTTGATTGGTGTATTGAAATATATTGTGGTTCTTGGTTGGATATAGTATAGCCCTACGTTTGCGGTTTGGAAGGTAGATGTCACGCGCTGAGTAGATGTCAGTTCGTAGCTTGATTTGGGTAGGAAAAAGGAATGTGGAACTATTGTATTGATGGATTTAACGATTGTTGTGAAGCTGGAATTCATGTGCCTTGTCTTTGGATAGGAGGACTGGAGGATCAAATGAGATGGATGCTTTTAATAATCAAGAAGGGTTGAATGATTATTACGGATAATGATCCATATAGAAGTAAGATGGAATGTTCTAGTGGGCATATCCACCTTATCATAATCCCGTTCTTCGACCATGATGTTAGAGAATATAAAGGACTGAGAAACTTTATTGAAAGATAAAATTGAGATGTGGTTCTTGAGAATGGTTTGTCACTATGGTTTTTGGCATAGCATTCTCTTAAGATCAACTTCTCCGGCTAGGAGTATTCAACTGCAAATGGAGAACTTAAAAAAGGATGAGAACTAGAAGAACTATGACAATTATACTTCCATAGATGAGGTGAATATGATAGTAACTGGTTTTCGGTTCTCGGATATTGAGCGGGTAAAAATTCAAGCTGGGGATACCTGAATCATCGTTGCGTAACCAAATGACTTCGGATGTTGAGTCCCAGTCATAAGGTTGCGGGAGATGTTATTCAGAGTAGACAGCGAGCCCTGCAAGAGGAATTTCACTAACGAATTGAGGATACCATCAAATATCTGGAAAGTTTCAAAGCGCCGAGGACACTTTTACTCAGTGTATCTTCGCTATGAGAGTGTCGTTTTTCACTTGTCACGGGCCACTCCCAAAGGCTCTTCCTTCTGTTCATCCTATGACAGGCACGATGGAGACTAGCAATGCCAACGAATAGACTAGACGTGCAGGGGTTAGCGATATGCAACAAATCCCGTGTGTCATTAAGGTTCACCATTCAGCTGTGTGCAGAAGGAATATTAACGGGAGTTAACATCAACTAGTACTAGCTATAATAAGACCAAGAGCAACTCGAAAGCTGCAAGGGTTAGCGACGTGCAACAGATATCATTTAGGGTTTTAGGTGAGGGTTGGTGGCGTGAGCTTGAGTTTAAGTTGAAGAGAGCAATCATCGTCAAAATGAGACTAACAACTATTTAAAAGACTGCTGGGGTGTTGAGATGTGCAACAAACAGCATTCAGTCAAAGCTAAAATAAGACTAAGGACCAACCCCTACTAGAATGAGAATAATAATGACTATAAGCTTGCAAGGGTTGTCGAGGTATGTGCCATATGACATGTCAAAGCCCAAAACTTCAACATCACATCACGATGACGATGATGTCATGGGCCAGCACTACCCCAAGAAAAACACGTGTACATGAATAAATACACTCTATATAGCCCCTTAGCTCTGACGAATGAGAAAGAGTTTATGCCGACCTTAATGATTGTCACCCAAAGGGAAGCAATTTGGGTATTGCTAGGCTAGTATGCAGATAAAGACAAGGTGGATACTCTCCAAAAAATCGAATGCAAGTTCCACCTCTTCTGTATTCGACTGCATTTCAATATTTCTTACTTCAATTCCCACGATAGTTCATTTCAAGATAGGCCATATGCGTAGGACATGATTCCAGATTGATTGAAGATCTCAAGATCGTGCAGTCGTGCTCTGCAATTCGATTTGATCACTGTCACACTAATGAGATAGAATTGATAACTCTGCTCCTACCTCGATTTCATAGCATAGCCAGGTGATTTGAACGTTTGTAATTTACACCAGATGGTAGAGTATTTTGAGGTCACGTACTCTTGGTTGGATAGTATCAAGCGGCAATCCTATTCGAACCTTCAAAGATTATCTTTAGACAAAGGGGGGAAATAAATAGGGCTGAATTTTTGATACCAGTATACTTATAGCTGGAATCTGACCAGTAGTACAGGACATTTTCTCTTTCGCGGCCGGCCGGACCTTTCGGGCGAAGAACGTGTTATTGCTTCAAAGCCGGGCAAAATAATTGTACGCAGAGTAAAACCATGAGGAACATGTAGAGCATTTTGTGCTTGCAGAATTTTCAAATCTGACAACCGCCATATACGTAGACAAAGCTCTCCTTTCATGGCACTTCCTTGCGTATCTAGAAAGGGTGGTGATTCTTGGTGTATCATGCTAGAAGTAACCCTTTTCGAATCCTGTTCAAAAATTACATCTGATAGACCATTGTGCAAGAACCCTGAGTGGCTACTTTTCACTCGAACAATAAGAACATTGAGCTTGAGAGTATACTATATGGAAGTAAGACTTTAATACTGTAGAACGTTGAGAATTCATTGTGTTGAATTCAATGAATTCCAAGGACGTGAAATTCTTATCACGGTGAAATAATAAAATACTCGCTTATGTGAGCGCTTCAACACGCTATCGCGTTACGTCGCGTCCCCAAAACTAGTGGAAGTTCCCCCCCGCCAAAATCTCGAATACAGTATACACAAATTCGAGTTTCGCATCACAATATTTCTGTGTTTCTGCCCCAACTAATACTTCAATCACTCATTGCGCACATATTTGAGAGAGCAAAATCCTACATTCTAGCTTTTCGAGACAAATAAAATACAGAAGTCGAGGCGATAAGATTCTTTGGCACATAAACCCTCGAATTATCACAGACAAGACGCACGGGACGACACGAGACGAATCGAACGAATAGCAACCCTGTAATATTAGCTGTCATCCAAATACAATGGCGAGACTAAACAACACACTTATTGTCTACAAACGTAAACCTTACAAACCGGTTCCGAGTTTGGTTGCCGCACACCGACGAAATACGCTCGAGTCAAAGAAGGGGAACGGAACGGAGAGTGGTGGAGTTGCAAAAAAGGGCAAACAAGCTACCACACTGGGAGAGAGTTCTGTTCAAAAGCCCCCTGGAACGGTCAATCAATTGAACAACATGGTTGGTCCGAGGGCACCGGTTGCGCAGATGATTGCGAGCACGGCAGATGGAGAAAATAATGGGAGTTCGACACAGCAGGTGATGACTGGACCCAAAGCTCATGTGGAGGAAAGAGCGGTTGGCGAAGGCGATGGCCAGAAGGACAAAGAGTATAACGGAGCTGGAGCTCAGAACAAGCCGCAGCAAGAAGTGGCACTTCCGAATTTACCGCAGTCTCGAGGGCCATCAACGCCGGCTAAGAAAGCAATTGTGAAAAAGAATGCCGAGTTACGAAACTCACGACTTCGTCAAGAGAAAAGAACGCCGCTCAGTAGATTAAAAAATGCACAACAACCAAGTCCAGTCACTAAAGCAGGATTGACGGAGGATCTAACAACAGTGAAAGATACTCCTCGCGGCGGAGGAAGTCGAAAAAAGTTGGCTAGTGCAATGCTAACATCCGACAAAGAAGCTGAAATTGTAGCTTCAAGAAAGAATCCAAAGCCAAGCGGCAATCCAAGTGGCAACCCAAAAACGTTGGCCAGGGACCTCGCTCCAGGCGAAGAAGCTAAGGAAGCCGCTTCTGCAGTCGAACAAGCCAATGAACCCTCTCCGGTAGTCGAAGAAGCCAATGAACCCGCCTCTATAGTTGAAGAAGCCAATGAACCCGCCTCTGTACTCGAAGAAGCCAACGAACCCGCCTCTGTACTCGAAGAAGCTAAGAAGCCTGCTCCTATCGAACGAGCCAATGAACCCTCTCCGGTAGTCGAAGAAGCCAAGGAACCTGCTGCTATCGAACAAGCCGATGAACCATCTCCGGTAGTCGAAGAAGCCAAGGGACTCGCTTCTATAGTCGAACAGACCGAAGATGAGAATGATTCCGAAGAAGAAAATGTGACCGAAACTATAGCTAAAATCTCCTATCAACCGGATATAGTGCATCAATCTCGAATGGATGGCGAGAATAATGAGCAATGGCTTATAGAGTGGAAAGGATATCCAAAACAAAAAGATTGGACTTGGGAGTCAGTTGAGATGTTGAGGGAGGATTGCCCAGAATGGGTCGAGGAAAAGGAGGATGGTTCGTTGAATGGAGACGCTGATGTTTACGAGGTCGAGGCAATTCTGGACAAGCGGAAGGTTAGGGGCAAGGTTCAATATCGTGTGAAGTGGGAAGGCTGGGAAGCTAATTACAATACATGGGAACCTGCGGAAATGCTGGAATGTGATGTCCCGTACATGGTGGAGGATTTTGAAAAGGAGCCCGAGAAGACCGAGAAGAAACGAAGTGCAGGAAAAGCAGATATGGATTCAGAGCTACCTGTCGCAAGGAAAAGAGGCCGACCTAGAAAGTGAGGGACACTTGACTTTGTATTCAGATTTTATGAAAGATCTTTCAGCGTGTGAATTGATTGGTAAATCGATGGGTCATTTTCAGTTGGAGTTTATAGGACAACGATCACTCTGAGTAGAGTTTACAGAGGAGATGAGATGCAAAATACCCAAGCGAGATTTTTCGGGTTTGCGTTTGTTTTGTCTAGGTATCTTATGTTTTGTTGTTGGCTATAATGCATACAGATCGTCTATGAAGCTTCTCACTTGCTTTCCGTTGATTCAAAATATAAATCACTCCCATTTACAATTCTTTCTATATATGTTTGATAACCATCAATGTTGAAAGGCTTTACAAATGAGAATTGGCTCATGGTTAGCTCCTTTAGCGAGAGCCAATAACTTCTCAAGGGGTCGATGACGCGAATAATTATTGGTCGCAATATGCTCTAGAAGCCTAAATTTCTTTATCCATAGTCACTACTGCATTCGTTTCTCTGTTACTTCCTACTCACGCATCATCATCAAGAAATCGCTCAACATTAACAATCTTGCCCCATGCAACTGATCTTAGAGACTCCTGTTTAAATAAAAACCTCTGCAACACATTGTTCAAATTAGATGAGAATAATCTGCCCACGTTTAGAGTATCCCAAGGTCCTAGATGTCCTAGTTTCTCTATCTACCTGATTAGAATTATACACTCACAAGATATAACGCAATTTGTCGATTCTGTTTACTTATGCGTTGTAAACAAGCCGATCTGGTGATGGTGGATGCGTATCTAGAACTTCGGCCCTAGTATCACACATCAAGTCAATTCCTCAAGGAACGAGGACATCAAGTACGAACATCCACCGCATATAGCCGAACTACCTAGCATTAGTCTAGCTATTCGTAGGAGAAAAGGCAGGCGGGATTTGATCATTCAAATCTCTATTGAAATCTTCTGAATTAATTTGATTAAAAATCAATCACAAATGATTTATAAAAACTCAGTAAAATTAGAGATACATAAGCTTCTTATTATTTAAATCATATCTGAAAGTTTTATTTCATAAAATATGTAAGAGTAGTCATCGACTTGTAAAGAAAGACATTATAGAAATGATTATATCCCGCCTGTTTTTCCTCCTACGAATAGAAGAGTATAGCTTGTGGATATATATAATGCCTCAGACACCTAGCTACTACACACAAGTATCGGCTTTTCTACAGAGGTAACCTCCGGGTCTTTCGACTATTTACGCGTCCTTTATAATTGAGTGATATAATAATATTAATTTCACACTCTCATATCTAAGATAATATTGGGGACTTAGATATCACTTATCTTGTTACTACATACTACAGTAACATTACCATGTCACAGAAAGTGCCCATTAGGGATCCCCATCTACAAGTCCAAAGTTGGACGCGATGCAAGCTTCCAATCCATGTGCCCTTGCCGGAAAGTGTATCGAAAAATCGTATTGAAGATCTTCCAGAAATCTGGCATGAATCATTGACCGGTCTCATGAACGCTCCGGGCTTCTTGAATTTCAAGTGTGCTCGAAATACTGTGAATCTCCAAGAAGTGCTTTTTGCAATCGGTTAGTATTCAGCTTCTTGATTCTTAATGAATATCCGATATGATTCTTATCTAATCTGGTCTTGATGCAGAATGGGAGGATGATGCCTCGTTCAAAGCGTTTCTGGAAATCTCCTGCTTATCCGCTATATCTATGAGGATTTGGGATTCATGACTCACATATCCCCAATGCTATGGTTTCCCTCTCCCCCTCCTTCGATATGTGTACATTCAGCCCGGGAGCCCGGGTGACGGTATTTACCTATAGCTTTGCGTATCCAGCTACTGAACAAAACCGGCATGACATGATGCATGCGCAAGGACTTCGCGTTAGCAGAAGAATTGGGAAGCTGGGGATCCACTGTCAACGTGCGTGGAATCGAGAGCCGCAGCTAGGAGATGTTGGGCGATTGGTGGAAAACGGAGTGGTGTGACAGGTTTGGCCTAATACAGAGCCACCAGTATACTTTGAAGCTATAGATCAAGATGAGTATTCGGGAGAGAACTTAGGAAAACAGATTAGGAGGATTAACCCTATCGATATGGAGGAGATAACATGGAACGCAGCGAAAGTCGAAGAAAAGGAAGAGGAGGGATGGGGGAAGGAAGAAGATGATGAAAAAGAGGATGATAATGAAGAGTTAAGTACTTGATATGATTAATAAGGTAAGACCAGAAAGACTTTGATGACGCACCCTATTTGGACTTTATAAATCAAGTTCGAATCGTCAACATGTCAGCATTTTCTATGATACATGCGCTCGTTGGTTAATTGAGTCCTGCATTACGATAGATCCGAAACCGTGAGGATCTTACCTTCTAGTATTAGCAGACTATATCGGTAACAAAAGTGAGTAAGCCACTAGATAAATAACAGATTATCAAGTCCTTCTCAGCGGAATCAAAAATGACAATTAACAAATAATTCATGGTATACTAGTGTTAAGATACTACTATACACCATGTAAGATTACACCTCAATAGATTGACCACTCGCTAACACATCAATTTCAAGAAAAAAAAAAAACAAAAAAAAAACAAATCAACCCGTCAATCACTTATTCAGCTCGTGACCATGAGACTTCTGTGGATATTTCTCATCGTGACGAGAATGGATCAAACGAATGTGGTAAATATCAGCTATGTTACTGATGCTAATTTTTCTGCGCCATCTCTCAAGATCGCGATGCTAAAGACCTTCCTCACACTTCCCACATATCCGTTGTATGAACGTAGATAAATGACCTTCAGTCATTAGGCTACAGTAGTACAATACACCAAGCGAGAGAGTTGGTCTCAATATTCAAGGACTGTTTCTTTCTATACCTACATCGCTAGCTCTTTAGACAGAATGCAATGTTGAAAATTAGGACCTACAGCATATGTGCTACGCCACCTCTACTCTCCTCATACCAACATCCGTGACAATAAACACTCAATCCCCCACCCATTATCCCGCACTGGAAATGATTCTGAACAATCCGCTCTACACAATGATAAGCCACCGTGTGAACAGACACTACTCGAATTGCAAGCATTTCCCACTACTAAAACCAAAGCCGTAATGTCTATAGCACATTACTACAGCAAAGAAGATACGATTCTCCGAATTCTCTCTCATATCGAGACCAGGCAACGTCTCATCAATACCCCAAGCCAAGCCGTCCACCAATCAAGGCCCGTTTGTATAACAAACTCAAATCAACAGAAATCTGCCAACCAAGCAAACCAATATAAACGACATTTACACCTCCCCAATTACCTAGCTTCAAAATCCAATCCCAATCCATGGAAAAGATAAACAACTTTACGAAACAGCATGGCCCTTTCCGGTAAACCGTCTGGCAAATTCTTACCTGCTCCAAAATCCTCCCATCAATTTCTACCAGTGTCGCCATGCTGCCACCCGCCAGCCTGAAAATATCAAAAGTACCAGCACTAGTACACGTAGCTGTTGAACAGATTATTAGCTTCGAACACAAAGAACACATGTACATCATCCCGCTCTATAAGCTATGGTTGCTCTGTGGCTACAACCTCAACTTTGGTAACGTACACACTTGCTCCGTTCAGAAATTGGACTACGAATTCCTTTATTTGGGCTTCGGATTTAGATTTAGATTTTGCTTATGCTAGCTGTTGATGCAAAGATAAGCTCAGACATTAAAAGAATTGTATTGTAAAAAAATATCGAAAAGAATATCACAGGAAAGAGGCGAATTATTTTAATGTTTTATATTCAACTCAACAACTATCGACTCTTACATCTCGAACCAAGTACTTCCCAAATGTATTCTCTATCACCTCCTAGTACACAAGAATTACATCCCCCACGTTCACACTCATCATACAGAGACCGATATCATATCCGCCCCCATCATCAGTACCAATACCAAATACTGATAAGCGTTTCCCACCTTCCGCGCGTATGCAGCCAGCCGGAATCCACAATCCCCATACCAATACAGCCAAAGTCCTCCAGTCCAGAAAACGACAAAAAAAGAAGAAAAAAACGCAAGCATACAGCCAGAAATAAACACCACAGAATACAAATCTCCACGAGAAATCAAAAGCAAAAACAAACAAGTCTCTCAATCCCATAGATACAACCCAAAACCCTGTCCATCTATAAACCTTTTCCCTCAAGAGTCAAAATCAACCAGCACCCGCAGTGCATACGCATTTTCAAATCAGAAAATACGAAAAAAAAAAACATAAGGAAAAAAGTGTGAAGGCAGAGAGGTAGATAGCAAGCTATGTGACCAAACCACCGGAAACAAATCCATCATATCATAACACATAGCCGCTCATGAACAAGAAACAGAAAGATGCAATCCGGCTTGCAATCTTTTATCCAAGTACTTCGAGGAAAGAGCCGCAACAAAAAAAACCATCATAACGCGTGGGATTGGATACAAATAATCCAATCCACTAAACTACCAATAATGCAAGCAGAGGAAATGCAAACGCAAACGATTGTACGAATAGTGATACAGAAATCCACCCTCTTACTTTTCCGTCTCTGAAAATGAAGTAAACAGTTGAAACTTTTGTTTCCTTTCGCTTTTGTTTTTGGTGAAGAGAACATAGGAAATCGAGTCGTGACATCATAGATCGTCATAGTGGGGAGCTCTTATAAAGAGCTGAATATTTTTGGCAAGGAAAAAGTGAGTGCCCAAGTGTTGGTGGTAATAGGTAATGTGGTACAAAAATGTACAATTACACAATAGTGTGTATGGTATATGAATCGACATTATACTTTAAAGAGCACAATTTATTTTGGTAAGGTTGTTGGAGGAACGGGGAAAAGGTTATAACTTCCTCTACGCTTACCAGCCGTGGCGGCATTGGTCAATGTGCTAGATCTCGATCTCGATCGTTCTTGAATGGCTTTTTCAGTGATAATCGGTGCAGAAATCTTTCTTCCATGATTGGACATGAAGGACTCGACTGAGGCGGGAGCATATAACTCGCGAGAAAGAGCAGATCTTAGGCGCGGTCTTGGAGGTGAATCGGTAAAGCTCTCGGCCACAGGACTTAGAATACTAGATGCTGCATTGGGAACAACTGTGGAGATTGGAGGGGGAGGTTGAGCGAAACGCTGAGCGTCTTTGGATGACCTACGCGCTTGGTTGGTATGATTTTGCATTCCAGGAACTTCAGAAGGCTGCTCATTGTCGTCAAGTTTTGAACCAGAAACTTTGGCAATAAGCTCTGGATCAGATGTAGTAGTAGCGAGTGCTCCTAGTGTTCTACTATCACGCTTGGGACGAAGAGATGGAACAAGGTCGGGTAAAGAAGAAGCGGATCCGATACTTCTGTGAGCTTTGCTCATGCTTCCTGCTTGGAAGATAAGCAGAGCTGAGTCTTGACTGGATCGATTGTAGAGGCTGCTAATAGTACTGCTTCTGAGGCTATTATGTGAATAAACCGAAGAACGATAAGAATTGGTACTAGAAAGAGCTTCATCTATTGGTGACGCAGGTTGTTCATAAGTATCCATGGGAAATATTGAAGCTGATGAGACCTCATCATTGTGATATGTGTCGAACAAAGCATCTTGTTCGCTTTGTAACGGATATTCGTCGGAAGGAATGAGGAGAGTTGGAGAAAGATTGAAGCCATCTGATTCCTTGAACGAAGATGCGTGAGAATCAGGTCGCATTTGATTGGGGCGGAAGTAATTGGTTGGTGTAGGGAGAAATGATGAAGCGCTCGATAGATTGGATATTGGAGAGAGTGCGGGAAGATCATATGGTGCAGGTACGAGTAGTGATGGACGAAATCGACCTGGCGAGACATCATGTTCGGCCTCTTCTGCTTGAGTGGGCGAAGCAGGTTCTGCTGTGATGACAGGTTTGTTCCCTTGGAATGTTTCATCGAATTCATAATCCCAATCTTCACCACCCTCATCCTCGTAACAAAAATCGATCGCGTCTTCCCAAGAATCAGTAGCCAAGTTAAGCTTAATCGAGCTGCATCTTTTTGAAAATCGAGAGGTATCGATGGACCCAAGTCTTCCTAACACTGGTGGCATGTCAGGCATATCAGGAGCTTGCTCAAGTGCCCTCATCCTCAAACCGGGAACAGATTTCGAAAGTCGTAATTCACCACCGTCGGTGCTTGACTCCCTTGATCGCGTCCTAGTATGTTCGTCCTCTTCGAGAACATCTGCAAGATCGGCACCAAAACTTCCACTTAATGGTGCAGATAAAGGCCATGCTTCCTCGCCAGGTGTAGTGACTGCATGAGACAAATGCTTGATGGATACCTCGGATTCTCTTCTTTCCCATTTAGGGGGTGAAGGATGTGTTTGTGGAGTAAAATCGAATGCAGACTCTTGAAAGTTGGCATTGGCACCAGCCAAAGGTTGACCGAATTCTAGGCCGGCTGAGTTTTCAACATGACTGAAGAAATTTGACGCCGCTCTTGACGATGTTCGAGCAGGTGGATTAACCGAGCAGCGAGGAGATTCAGGAGACCTCATTGGGCGTGCAGGTATCGATCGTAGATTATCATGTGACATC